GTAGATGAGGCGCTTAGGGACATGGTTTAGTGGGCATGGTGTTGTTGGGTTGATGGTTGGACTCGATGATCTTAGAGGTCTTTTCCAACCTTAATGATTCTATGATTCTATGATCTCTCCACATAGATTCACTTCCCCCCCAAATTATTATTATTATTATTATTACTACTACTACTACTACTACTATTATGCCAATGGGCTATTCACTCTTACAATAGCTTTATTTTTAAACAGCTTATGCTAAAAAATGTTACTGTAAAAATCAGCTGTCGACACAATACTCAGTTTTACAAGAGCTAGTAATTGGATTTGGGGATTTCAATATAAATATTATACAGACTGAAGAATGGTTTGAAAAATCTAGATAATCCTATATAGTTTCAACAGTCAGTTCTGTCAAGAAAAGGTAGAGCTTTTTCATCCTTTTCATTCTCTGTCAAAAGGGTATCTTGACTTTCTTTTCTTTTTAAAAGACCTTGAGACAGAAGATGGAAAATCCAACATTTTTCATACTAACGCACTAATGTGCTGTATTGTTATGTCCAACGATCTATTCTTGAAGGAGTGCTTCATTTCTTCCTTTGAAGAGATATCTTCGCTTTTCCTCCCTTCAGAGAATAAAAGGAGGTAATATATCCTTTTATAGAGAGGATTATTCCCAGAGGATCTGTCATCATCTGAAAAAATGGAAGATATTAAGGCCACTCCCAATCATCTGTTTCTCCTCTGATTTCTAGATTCCCAAGTTATTGTTATTCTACTTTTTTAAAAGCTTTATTGAAAAAGTACGCAAATTGGGATTGCTGCTCTCTCATAGTTCTTTTGAAAGTGACGATACCAACAGCTTTCATTTTCACTAGGAAGCATTTGCAAGCATTGTGGGTAGTGGATGCGGTTTTTTTAGTCTCTGAGAGAAATCATTTGGGATGAGGATACGATCTTCTTGAACTGGCTGATAGACTGTCATGAAATGAATAGGTTTGTATTGCTACAGTGAGAAAAAGCTTTGCATGGTAGAATTTTTAACTGCTCTAGAAAAACTGCAAATATTAAAGGCAGAAGTAACAATAAAACTTGTAAAGAAGATGGTTTCCAATACCATATTCAACATTTCTAAAACTTGTATCTTTAAAAAGATTTTTTCCAAATCATTGCTCTCAACAGTTTAATTTTTTGTTTTCTGAGAAAAAAATTGAGTTTCCCGTTTTGGAGTTTCAGAGCAAAAAATGAATTATTTTAATATATACTTTCTACTATTTACTCTGACACTTGCTGGAGAGATTCTGAACAGTAGTTTGATTTAATAACCCAGATAACAGTGCTTCTTACTGCCAATAGAATAGATAAGACAGTCATAAAAAAGAAATCAAATGAAGTGCGTTGGAATAGACTAATTATGTACGAGAGTCAGGAAGAAACTTGCCTCGTACTCAGTAAGATAACTGGATCATACTTTCTTCTAATTTGATAAACCCTAAGTAGAACTGATGAAAAGAAATGAGCCAAGATGTGCAACAGTTTTTCCATATGACATTTTTTCCTATCCTATTGCTATGTTAAATGAGATACATGAAACAGGGGAATATACAATAGTCAGACACTCACTTCTTACTTTTTAAGACTGAAATGACACACCCTGAAAAACTGGAAAGACCCTGGAAAGATGAAAACCGCATCAATATATATTGTGCTAGTAAAGCCAAGCAGCACCCATTTTCACGGAAGATGATACATGAAATGCAGAATTTCTTCAAAATTGTACTACTTTCTTAATTTAGGAAAATGAGCTTAAGAGAGGTATAAATGTTTCTGCTCCTCTTTAAAGATATATCCCTCATAAGAATTCTCAATTTGTGGTCATGCCACTTCATCTCAAGATGCAATATAAACTTCAGTACTGATTTCAAGTTAAGTTTCTGGTGCAAAGCCTATAATGCATGTATGCTACACTCACTTTTTAAATGATTACAGTGTCCAAATCTATCTCTTTTCCCATTTTTTTCCCCAAATTTTGAGTCAGAAAAATTTCTGTATGTCAACACGCCTGACGAATTATCTTTCACTTGAGACAGTATTTCCATTATCCTCTACTCTCTTGTTCAAAGTGTCTTACGCAGAAGTTCATAGCTGTAGCCTATTTAATAATAGCTGAATCACATTAAAAAAGATCTATCTGACCTTTCACTCTTATCACAACAACTATGAATCTTTAGGCAAATGTATTTTGTTGGAGGATATTGTTTTCCTCTTCTCTTGACTCAACTGGATCTTCTGGCACTCAACACTTTGGTCATCAACTGCCAGCTAAGCCAGCACTGAATTTCTTATTTGCCTTCTACTACAAAATCTACTCCCAGAGGCAAGTAAATCTTACATACTAAGACACTGACTTACTATGGTCTTTTCTTCACTCTATTTGTTTTTTGGCATTTATATTTTGCCTCTTTGTTCTAGCTCTTGTATAGATTTCACTATAATGCTGACATCATCCAGGTCTACATCTTCCTACTAAATGTCTGTAACAGTCATTTGTTATAATGAAATTTTATCACATGAAATACCATTAAAACAAAATATCTATTGGTTGGCTTCAGATTTATGGCTAAAAAAATAATAATGATAACAAAATTCTTTCTGCAGAACTTCACTTTATAACCCATAAAATAATACTATGATTTAGACATTTGCTGGCCCCAAATTTATGGTAATTTTTTTCCTAATAATGATAATCTGATTTCATGTAAAGAAATTTATTTTATGACATAGAATACTGCCAGGGTAAGACTGTATATTGGTGGAAGAAGAGAGACAAAGGCATTGAAATGTAGACAAATGTTTGCATTATTTCCTGGATTAGCTACTGTTATTTCCTCTTCATAGTTTTCCCAAAGGAGTTTTAACCTACCCAGAATCTTGCAGCTTGACTCATCATTACACATAACCTTTCCCAGCACATCACTTCCACCTTTACTGTCTCCAGTGGCTTGCAGTACAATACCACGTCATATTACTTACAATTTCAGTCAGATTTTCAATTTATATTTTAGAAATTTTGGTTACATAACTTTGAAGGCACTCCACCAGATTGACAAGAGATGACCTTAGCATTTTCAAAACACAGATTTAAGGACTGATATCTATACATCCTACTTGTTTTTATAGTTTTTGCATTTTGGTAGGAGATTAATTACGGGCATATTATACAGCTGTGGAATTCATTACAAGCCAAAGCTGATATTTTTTAAATCATCTGTGGGCAAAGTCAAACTCCCCTTTTCTGCTTCTATGCTACTATAGTTCAGGGTAGAACTTGTGGAAATAAATAGCTAGCAATGCTTTGCATGTATCTCTTTGAAAAGCTAATTTACCATTGGCACACAACTATTTGACAGTATAGTAATATAAACCATATTTCATCTTCCAAGTACTGTACATACAACCCTGTGAGCTAATATGTAATGGTTGTATTTGCTGGTTTTTTTAACTTGTACGATATGTTGAATATCTATATCCAAGGTACTAGTTTTATATGTATGCTAAAGATTCTGCTCAAAGTCACAGGCAAATTCTGTATCACAACAAGAGATATTTAATCCATTTAGGCATCCAGTAGATTGTGCATCTCCATTACTATTAACAGACAGCTACTTGAAAAGTGACTTCCTAAATGCCTTCCTAAATATTCAGGGTCCTTTAAATTTACTACAGAATGGAAGCTTTCCTCTAAAATTTTCCCTCTTATACCAATACCACTTTCAAGCTCCTCAGAGGAAAGAAACATCAATCATCCATGTTGCACTAGGAGGTACTGGCTTGTTACAATTCCAGAAAGAAAGGCACTCAGACTCTGTAAAGTATCTCTTAAAATGCTATTTATTGGAGCTAAGACTATAAAGAAAAAGAAGATAGTATCAATAATCTCATGTCCCTTTAGATGCTGGGAATCCTGAGCTGTGTGGAATTGAACACGCCTCCAAGCCAGGCATAGCATGCCACACAGATCCCACCCGTGGAAAGTTACCCCATTTTGGTCATTTGAGCTCTTATAGGATTTTCTTATAAGCAAAACAACTCTATTCATCATTTATACTGTCAAATAAAAAGGGCATTCACATGGGAACTTGCTGCTGAAGTTTTAGATAAAGGCAAGGACATGCAGGTGGTGTAACCACTGGTACCAAGTAGAAGCTGCCTGTAAGCTCCTCTGTTACAATTAGCTGGTGAAGTTTATCCTGCAGCAAAAGGATATCCGCAGCACAGGCCTGAACGTCAAACTATACGCACAGCACAGACCTAAGCCACCTAGGTTAACTGTTACAAGGATTTCTACCTCCTTGATGTACAATGGTCTTCCAGTTAGGATCACTACAGCATCTCACATTTCAGTGGGATGTAAATTCTTTAAAATAAATGGAATTTACTGATTAAGTTATAGGGCTGTAAAAAAAAAGCCAGTTAAATTGCATACCTGTCAGCACCACTGTGTGTTCTCCACCACAAGCAACCTTATTAACCTTTTCCATAATTCCCAGTACAGGCTGTGGGACTCTATTGTTCTTCAGCTGTTCGGGCAATAATCCCAGTTTCCCATTCTCAGGTTCTCCAAAAGTATAGAGCTCACCATCTCCTGTGAAAATACAGAAGGGAGCAGGATGTCCAGCATGCACTCAGAAGCAAGGATGGGTTGTCAAGACTGCTGCAGACACAAATCAGTAAGACAGAAAAGTATACGAACATTACAAGATAATTGAACATATTTGTATAATGTCCAAACAGTTGGCAAAGCAGTCTGCTTTGATGGGACAAGACGGGGCTAAATTTTAGCCCCCTCCAAGACGGGAACCGCAATATTTAGCCTGCAAGGAATCTAGCCAAGGGAAAAACAAAACCATATACATCCTGCTTCTGAGAGGTTATAATTCCCTCTGTAATTAGTATTTATGTCAGCTGAAGTTGCTTGTAAGAATCTCAATTAAAACAGAAAATCGTTTTGCATGGAGTTTTGATGGAAAATCCACACTTTCTTCTTGCAAGATACAGAGAAAAAAATAAAAAAGCAGAGTGAGATGAAACTGTGTGGTCTGGACAGCAAGAAAAGAGCTGTATATCCAACAACAGGGATACAGCAGTGGTTTCATAGCAGTAACTCCACCAGAATTAAGTTCAAAAAAATACTGAGAGGTCTTTACGGATCTCTTACCGTAACTTTCTGATCTGCCACATAATCATACAAGACGACCCTTCTCATTCACCCAGACTTTTTAAGAATCCAGTTAAAAAACTGTTCAATCCCAAATTTGGGTAATTTCATTTTACTTTTAGGTTTCCTTTGTTTTATCTTTTCCAATCACTCCCTTTGTTTTTTCACTGCTATGTAAGTCTGAATTACCATTCAAGACAGCATTCTATATAACCTTCTACCATAGTTAAAAATGGAACATGTAAAATGTACTTTCCGTTGCTTCATTTACAATTTATCTACATTTATCTACATCTTTTACATTTATCTACATCTTTTTTTTACAATTTATCTACATCTACATTTCTGATTTTCCGTGCTAAGGGGCCTCCAACTGTTCTAATAGGTCAGAGTGAGGTTTAGGTAGAAAATGCTTCCTTACTGCCAGGAAAGCTTCAAGTTAATAGCCGAGCGTTCCCCACTCCTGAAAAAGATTATCTGTGGAGTAGTGTTCTCATAGCAAATTGTGGCCCGCAGTCTGAATTTGAAATTACTTACCAAAAAAATCACCATACACTATTATGTAAGAAAAAGTTTGGGTTTTAATCCCAGTTGGATATAACAAAGCACGAGAATAAACAAAACTTTCGCATGGAGCTAGTCCAAGATAAAGAAATATTTAAACCAGTGTAGGAGCTGCCTGCTAAAGGAAAGTCGAAGCGATCGCTACAGTGACATAATCAACATAATAACAAACCCCAGAAGTATACTCCATTATTAAAGCTCAGTCATCAGAAGCACACCCATCTACAATATTTTTGGAAATGTGCAGATTTGTACTTCAATACAAAATGTACTTTTACTTTCAGAGGGATACATTTAGCGTTCACAAATTGACTTCTACAGCATTTAGAGGCATTGCTACTGCATGATGCACAAGTATCTGAGAGATTCTTATTCAAAAGCTATGAATTCCTTGCCAACATGAAAGTTGGGTTAATCTTAGAAATGCTGGTCTTTCCCCACAGACAATGAAAACAGATGAGCTCAAAGAAAGTTTGAAAGCTGAAGCGCGATATACAATTTTTTTCCTTTGTGGCACTTGATTCTTGATTACTTTGTGCTAAAGAGTGACTACACCAGTGGGTGCATAGAACAGAGCAGCGCAGGCTGCTTTTGCCAGGACCCTCCGTCAGAAGAGCTTTGATTCATTCCGAAAACCCTTAAACTACTATGTCGTCTAATAAAGCAGTGCTTCTCCTCCCATCCTCTCAGAGGAAGCAGTTCTGGAGCAGTCACGCTGATTGGTGATGTGTGTTACCTTTGGTATTGACAGTGCACAATAAGCAAAAATAAAAGGTCTAAATTATGATCTGTTTTCTTCAAAGGAAGTCTGAGGATAGGTTTTCAATGAATTTTAGTTAGAGGGAGAATCTGAAGTATGTCTCTTATTTTATCGTAAAGTTCAGTCAGGAAAAAAAAAAGAGATTACGCATTTTTTAAGATACCTCAGCTTCAAATTAATTTAAATGCATAAAATTATCAATTAACTTAAACAATCTGAAAAAAATGTATGACATACTCAAAGAGCAAAAACTGTAAAAAGGACTTTTTTTCATAAAAGCCAAATTCCTGCCTTAAATGGAAAATGGGTCCTAAGCCTCAACAAAAAGTTGCCACCCAGCACCTCCACCAAAGATTTAGAACCTAACTTTGATGGCGCAATATTTATTTGTAAAGCTTACAAGACCTAAGAAATTTAGACTCTGCCTTAGTCAAAGAAACCCCAGACTATTTTATACAGTTTCTATATTTTCCAAGATCACTTCTGCCTCTCACAATGGCACAGATTCTTCAAGTACCGTGCTCCTGGGCCACTAAGGCTAGCAACTGGACTTACTATCTTTACCGAACGCTCTGACTGCACAGAGAGGCAATCAGGGAATGACAATAATACAATCTCACTCAATGTCAAGCTTCCTGCAGGGTTTCACAGGGCTCACGCTATTAAGAGTAGCCACCCACAATCTATTCACAGAGATACATTCTCCTCAGCAAGACAATGAAATGGGATAATAGCTGTATTTCCCAACTATCACCATCAGAGGTGTAACCCCATCCTCCCAGCTGTCCTTATTTTTTCTACCATTCTGACATTTTCTTTCCTACACACACAAACTACACCAATAATATTATAACACTTCATTTACCTGCATGCATCTGTGCAGAAATGCTTTTGTTGCATTCTTCTACACTTCTTTTCTAAGAGGTGTTTTGCAGTCATTTCAATCTGTGTGTTTTTTAAGAAACAGCAAATGATCTCAGCTGCAGAAAAGTATATTTCATTTAATTTCTAAACTTTGGACTGTGTTTAGGCTTCTCCATCCAGTCTGATTTTCTGTTTTAATTCTGATCTTTATTCTTATACCTACGTGCAGAAATACTCCGAACAGGCTGATACTTTGCAGTTATTTGCAGCAGCATCAATTTTGTATTCTAAAGCAGAATTATTAGCTGTCCAATTAACAACAATATAAAGCAGTCCAATTAACAACAAAAAAATCAACTGCAATGTGAGGCTTTCTGTAACCAAAACATTTCACTGACAAAAAAGACATTTTATTAGGGATTCTAAGTGAAAAAGAAAGAAAAAACCCAACAACAAAAAGAACCCTGTGTTTTTTGGAAGGTAAGTATTGTTTTAATACTCTTGGATCTGCCATATATTTCTAGAAACAAGCTGATAAACCCCCCCAAAGCACTTGGGAGTTAACTACTTACGCAGTTCTCTTTGAAGAGACCAGCACTTCTTTTTAAACACTACTGCACTGCAAATATTAATTCAATCACAATCTAATTAATAAGATTAGAGATTCAAATGGCCAAGCTTCCACTGACTTCCCAAACTAATCAAGTTTATTACATTTTTTCAACTTAATAATCCAGCCAACAAAGATAAACCCATTTATTAAAGCAACTTTTGAATACATTACGCATCCCTTTAAGGCAAACAGTAGTCTAAAAACTATGAAGAATAGCTATCAAGCATAAAAAGCATCCAGTCACACCCAGATAAATTTTGAGTACAGTATGCGTGCAGTACATCAGCATTTTAAGGACGTTCTGTTCACAATGGAACATGGATATTTCATTTTCTCCTCTCACATGAGTCACATTCTCACGTGTTGAACTTTCCCTAGTGTGGCACATTTTCCATATCACTAAACTTTAGGTCACAGGAGCATGTCTAGGAAATGGGCAAGCGAATGGAAAACTGTCTTTGCCCCTCAAAGGCAAATGCACATACTGCAGATGAGAGAAGATATGAGACCTGGCTGGTGGCAAATGAGGACAGTAGACAAAAGAATTGGATCACTCTATGATCCCTTAAATAAATGAAGAAAAAAAAAAGAAGTATTTATTCAAGACCAAATTGGTTGAGACCACCTCAAACACTGAAATTCTGAGCATGGAAGTGTTTGTGGAATGGATGATCTTTAAAACTGGTCCTTAAAAATAATGACAAAGTACATTAAAAAAAGGAATTCAAGGAACCCGCAAAGCTCTCTATCTTGACCTTGCTTATAGTAACAGTTCAGGAAGGAGGAACACCAGAAGAGGTCTAATATATTCAATTCCTTTCTGGCTCCATGAATGTAATTCCACTGTAGACACCAAAGTAGTGGTTAGATACATTGGCTTTTCCTGCTCTCCATCTCCTCCAGTGGACAAAGGAGCTATATATGCTTGCCAAGCTTAATGCTGTCTGAAAAATTGTTCCCTCTTGAGTGAGCGTGGTCAAAGACTAGTCAAGTAAAGATCTGTATATGGACTCAAAATCGTTGCTATACTCTTTCAGCTCTTTCTTTCTCTGTTCCTTTGTTTGAGACGTACCTCTAATATGGGGACCTAACGTCCCAAGTCTGCAAAAAGAAAGGAAAGGAAACAGATACTGGGAAAAAGTCCTAAAGAGGACTAGAAACTATAAACTAAAAACTTCTTTTAAGTGGAACTCTTTGAAGATGCAAAGTGAGAGGAAAAGGGAGCAAACAATCATCTTTCAAACATGAAGTGAGTAACCAGACCAGCTTCCTAATTTGCATCTGGAAATGAGCTAGCCATTGCCTGCGCTTGCGCCTACTCTAAATTTCAGAAGTGTTTTTTATTAAAAATAATTCAGGATATATTCTGTTCTTCTATTCTACATCTACTTTTGGCATCAGTGGGGCCCACGTGTACATGGTAGAAAACGGGTGACTGACATGTTTAGGAGTTGAATTAACGTCTGCAAAGAAGGCATTCTAAAAAGCAAAAGTAAGAAAGGTGACAAATCATCTTTTTGGAAATACTAGATTTGAGAAGCTTTGGGGGTGGGGGGAGGGTTGTAGAACTGAAGTACAAATTCAGATGACTGAATGCCGTACAATTTCCATAAAACATGCTTTTGTCTACTAAAGGTTTGTGTCAGGATTCCACTCTACTTTTCATTGACATTGCACTTGACTTTATAGTAGTTAAACACCTTAAAGACAAATGCCTACTAAAACACCATTTATAAAACCAGCTGTTTCAAAGAAATAACGACTTCAGTTTAAAAAAAAAAAAAAAGCTGGAATCCCTACTTTTTTTCTCAATAGTCTCTTATTAATGAACATCCTGCCCTGGAGAGGGCACTCTGTGACCACACTACGTATTCTAGTATCCTCATTAACCACCTTTTAGTTTTAACCCGGATATGCCTGTGATCCTAACAGTTTGCTTAGCCAGCACACAGCTTATGTCAAATGTAAATGTATTAAGAAAGGGAACCACATGGTGCCATGCTCATCGGTTCAGCCCGGCAACATGTCCCAAGTCCTACATCCTGCAACTATGTTTTATTATTAAAGACAGTATATTATTTGATGCTTTTTTATGTACAAGTCATGTTTAAAAAGTCAGAATGTAGTAATTCTATAGTATTCTAATAACTGGTAAGTTACAGGTATTGAAAGCTTTCTATTAACAGTGTTTCTGCCATTTCTTCCATAGTAACAGCAACCACAATACAAAAAAGTTCCTCTGGTATACTTTATTGATGTTGAGGGAATTAATACAGATTATACACTCACCTGAATTGTTCAAATTTCATTTCTGGAAATACAGAACCACTTTCTTTTCCAGATATTTCCTCCAAAAGTATATATTAAAAATAACACTAATCACTCTAAATTCTAGTATACAAGATAAAACCATACAATAAAAATACGTGGAAAACTCCCTGTGCTATGCAAACTTTTAAACATACTTCAAGGCATAATTCAATGACTAACTGGCAATTTGGGGGGAAAAAACCCAGTCCCCATAATATGAATATTCCAAATACTCCATAATTATCTAGTTTGCTATGTTCTACCATCCCTCAGAGGCACTATACTGAGGATGTGAACCACTGTTCTGAGCCAGTCTAGCAAGTCCTACAGGCAAATGTTTTCCATACTTGAAAAAAGCATCCTAATACTACTAAAAGAATCACTTTTTTTTAAGCAAAATCTTTTAACAGCATAGTGCCTTGACTTCCTTCCTAACTAGGCTGTAAGAAAAATAAGGTAACTACATTTGTACTCAAATGGACTCAGCCTGCAGAACTTCCAAATTCATAATTTAATAGCTACCTTTATAGCTAAAATAATGTGTGGCTATGGTACACTTAGATTAAATGCATAAGCTTTGCTTTTAAACACTGTCTGGATACACAATGGCACTACTGCAACAGAAGATCAATTCAGTAAAAGTACCTCGATGCCCAACACTAAAATGCTATGGTAGTTAAAGTATCAGTGAAATAAAACCGTCAGCAAGGGCCCAAAGGAAAATAATAAAAAAAGATTTCTCCTTTCACCACAAAAGAGGCCATCCACATGTCAGTAGTTTCAGCGAGATAGATTGAAGCCCAGTTTGTGCAGGACTTGCAGATACTAAGGCTGAAAATTAAGATTTTCCATCTCGCACCCAGGCCTGTTTAAACAGTAACGGGTTCAACAACTCCCCATTTTCACAGGCGATAACCAGTTCATCTTCTTATTAATATTTTAAGAGGCTCCATTTCTCCTACCCAGCTGCTATCCTAATACTTTTTTCCCATCCCCCTCCATTAAAAGTTTCCACTTCCTTATAGCACCTGGCACACACTGTTCTCTCCTTGCTCTTAGATGCTTGTCCTCAACCCTTTTTCTAATGAGAGCTTTTGTCGCATCCCACTGCAGTCTTGTCAGAGCTTCAGCTCTCGGCTAGAAGGTAGAAATACACACTTTCTTACTATATCCTTGAAGTAAGGATCTTCCCCCCTGCCGTTTACTTTGAGTTCAGGAAGCTGTAGATTTCCTAACAGGTGCTGAGCTCCTGATCAGTCAGAGGCACTTCATTCATTTACTGTAATAAAGCATCTGTAATAAAAGTTGCACACTCCCAGCATAACACCTAATTAGTATTTGTCCACCATAGGAAGCTCTCATTCTGTTAACAGCATATTCTCAGAGAGCTATATAGATATTGTATGTGAAAAAGTAACATTTATCAAGTAACCTGAGAAAAGTATCTGATGGAATAGTTCCTGCGTACCCATTAAAAGCTTTCCAATCAAAACTATTGAACCTTTCAAATCTTTAATTACTCTGAGGGGACTGAACTGTAAAGCTTAATAAAGTAAATCTATATGGCTGAGAGGAATTCGTGGCTGCTCATATATAATACCATCAGTACTGACTGATAAATTCACCCATATTGGCATTATTAAAAAATGAGTGGCATCATCGCTTTGGAAACCAACAGAGGTAGGAAGAGAGAGGTGGAAAGCAACAGAGAGGTGGGTTGGTTTGGAGATCAGACACCGGCTCACTGTAGGGTATGCTTCTCCTCATATCATATACTGCCTGTTTAACTGTCTTCAAAACTTAAAATTTAAGACATAACATCAAACTTTGACAACAATATTGCACTGCTAGCAAATGAGATTAATTTTTCCTCAAAACATAGTAAGTCTATTCAATATTTATATTTCTAGAGAAGATGAAGGTGATTATTTGATCATCAGCAAAAAATGAATAATCTCAAGAAAAGTTGAATTATTGAAACCATAATATTAATCCACAACATTTGTCATAACCTTCATGAACATAAAGTGTGGCAAGATAGTCATTCCTTCTAATATACTTTTGCACAACAATGTGCAAATGCAGAAAAATAACTGCCGTTTTTTCTCACAGTATTGTTAATTCAATGATACTATACAATTATATAGCAGATTACATATAAGTTTCCTAACTAATTCAGTTAGGACCACATTTTAGAGAACCTGTCTCTGGTAAAATCTCCCAATGTGACACGAAATTACATAGATGACTTTCTGCCACATGGCAGTTTTTAACAACTGTGGCATATCTCATTTCAAAAGTAATGAATGCCTCATTAGCTACCTTTACAAAGACAACAATTTGAGAACCACTGACTTGTCTCCACTAACCGCTATTCCCATTCTCTTACCTGTTATCAAGGCAGAGTGATAATATCCACAGGATACAGAGGAAACAGGTTTTCCAACATCCACTTGACAAGGGACATTGACACAGGCTTCATCAGCCAAGCCAATTTGACCTTCCGAATTGTCACCCCACATAAAAAGCTGCCCATCCTCTAAAATGAAGACACAGACAGTTAACAGATTTAAAACCAAAACTAATAAAAAGTTAATCTACCCATTTAAGAGCATTTCATAAACTTTGTGTATGATACTACTAAATGTCATGATCTCAGGGACGTAAAATGGTATTTAGCACAATGCAACAAAAAAGTCTGAAGTAAGAGGGTATCCCTTAAGCTTTTCAAAAGTGACAGAGAACACTTAGTCATCAACTGATGTTAGACCATAAATAGCAACAGGAAAAGTACTATGTAAAAACATTCCTTCAAAAAGAGGAAGATTGAGCATGTAAGACAATTCAGTTGCCAGAGGTCAGTATGAAAATATTACGGTGAATTTAAAGCATCTTCTTATTTCTAGTAGCAAGTCACCACTTTCTCATTCTTCCAAACTTATTCTTTGTCCCAACTTTGGCACACATCCCACTTATTCTTGCCTTATCTTTCAGTTCTCTTCACAGGTGATTATATTGCTTCATTTTGTTTTCCTTAAACTATCACAAAAGCTGTTCCAGGTTTATTAAGACCAGCCTCTGTTGACACAAAGACCAATGGCAGCAGTAAAAACCAAAAAAAGGTAGCGAACAACATGAAAAATCTCTAGATTTTTCCAGAACAGATGAGGTCTTCCCTCTGCATATTTCTTATTGGTGGGAAATAAGTTGTGAATAAAAAAAACGTACCATCTACAGTGCTACTGAGATGCTGTTGGGAACTAAAATCATTCAAAGTTGACTTACAAATCTCAGGAGCATGTTAACAATTGTCACAAAAAAATACAAACCAAATGAGCATCTCTCTCACACACTCTCACGCTCTCTGTCACATTCTGAAATGACAGCCTCAATAACTTATCCTAAACATGTACAGAAACAGCTGCTTTATAGCAAAACTTGAGAAATTACATTATAGGGTAATAAAGGACCACTCATCCAATGGCTGAAAGTATTGTAACTGTGTGGACTTCAACATGTCGCAATTGTATAATTTTGCCATCAGAGAAATAGGTCATAGGTTAGGCCTCTCTCAGAATTAGTAATGACACAGCGGTGTAGCCTGTACCTGTGGACCAAAACAGCTGCAGTAAGAAGTGGAATTAGAGGAACTTAGTTTTCAGAAGATTCATGTTTTGTAGCTGGCTTCCCTGGAAATGAACTGAAGATTTTTTCCAATTTTGAGGGTATTCATACTGTCTCTCCTTTGTAAGGATTCCTACAAAACTAGTACAGGTTGAGCTCCCGTTGCAGGCTATCGCTCTTGGAAAAGGTCGACTTTCACAAAAATTGTAGGAAGTTAATGAGACTGCCACCCCTTACCAGATTGTGTTGAAATGGGCAATCGG